CGTGTGTTTTGTAAATATTAAGGTGGTTCCGTATCAAACTTAATGATTTCCAAAGCACACGAATTTCTGCACAATTTCTTATAGCCTTTTACAATCGATGGTGAAAAAAGCAACAGCCAGGCGATAAAGTGTAAAGCCCGGCGATAGGAGCTATAGCCCGGCTGCATAATTTTTTATCGCTTCGTATAGCCCGGCCGTATGATTTTCTCCGCATTCTACAGCCAGCTATATGATTTTCTGTAGCCTTCTTTAGCCGGGTATAAGAATTCCTATGGTATTTTGAAACGCAGCTCTTATCGCCAATTTTTACCAGGGGTATTTTTTGAGAAAAGTAATGCGGATCCAGTATGTTTAAGGGTGCGCGGGCCACACGGCCGGATTAAGGGTGGCGCCTGCAGGCGCCATCATACAAAGCGCTAAAATGAGAGGATAGAAAAAAGGTGACCAAGACAATGAGAGAAAAATAACATATATTTTTACAATTCATCTTTTGGGGGAAACGATGAAATGGGCCTCTAGACGTGATGGATGTTCGCTAGATCTAAGTCCATAATCTACATGTTTTTTCGTATATGGAGTAAATTCACCTCTGAGCAACTGCAATTTCTTGAGTTCAGATTCATCCGCTTTCATTTCTGTTTCCAAAACAGGATTTTTTTAGAGGAGAAATCAGCATATTCATGGCCGAAGTGCAGAACCACGAATCTTCATTGCGGCGTTTCAAACTTATCGCTCCTATTTATTTTTTTTGGAAGAGGAACACTTCAACCTACATATAGCTTGAAATTGATACAGAATATTCAGCGAGGCAGTTTCTCGAAATTACGTTGACTAGTTTTCGACAAAAAAGAATATATTATGACGGGAAGTCTGCAACGTCGCAAACGGAGATACGTGGTTTTACACTTTCGCCATTGATATAATATGCTTCCAGGCAAAATCGTTCCATTGCTGCGTATTTGCTGTAAAAAGCGAATAAGAAAGTTGCGAAAATTTGTTTGATGCCTCGATATTCATCGACTTCCGGCGTGAAGTTGAAACAGGAAACGCCTGGAACTTACAACCCCCCCTCCGTTTCCATATCGGGTAAACAGACGCCACTGTTTTAATCCCGAGGCGACAGTCCAGTGCGGTACTGCATTCCCCGCCGATGACTCCCGCCTGGAGCCGCTGCGAGGCCCATCGCTCTTCCAGCGTGACTAATAGCCGAGCCGGGCACCGGACCCAGGACCCTCCGCGGGAAACCCAACAGCGCGCTAGCGCAGGCGGCCCCGGCCGGCGAGGCGGAGGCGGGAAAATCACCCGCCGAGTAGAATTGGCACGGCCGCCGTCTCCCAGAAAACGCACCACCAGGCACCGCGCGACGCCGGGGCGGGACGGTGGGGCGGGGAGGCAACGCCGGACGGGCAGCTGGCGCGGCTGGCGTGTTGGAGCGGGTTGGCGCGCTCACGCGGCCCGGGCCGGGCCCTCGCCCAGGAGGGGCCTCTAGTCGGCGTCCGACGCTTGCATGTGCGACACGCGCGGCCGCTACCCGGGAGTATCTCGCCGTGTTCTCGTCAGGATGATCAACTGTGAGCGGCTCATCGCCGAGGTCTACAAGCGGGAACCCCTCTGGAACAGCTACAACGTCCTGCACAGGAGTGCCGTCGCCACCAGCAATCTCTGGGGCGAAGTCGCCGAGATCCTCGGATCGGATAGTGAGTGTCTTTTCGTTTCCACCCTTTCGCGCGCGAGACCGACCGCACCACGTGGGGGTGGGTTTGACAACAGTGGCGAGCGTGGATGATCGATTATCGATATTCCTCCATTTGAAGCTATGGTGAAGAATCGATTATTGAGATGTTCGTTGCGAACACCCTGTTTATCGATCTTTTTCCATAGGTTTATATGGCAGATCTATCGATATATCGCGAAGCACGCTACACCCCTGGTTGACAACACTGAGAAAAAGACCGGTTTGCAGTGGTGGAAATCCTCGCTCTGAGGCCAATATCGTATTTTGCGGGTCACGTGCCGAATTTTGATCAACTCGACTGGAAACCGGCCTTGCAGTGTTGTTTACATCCCCTTCACCNGGGGGGGGGGGGGGAGAATGGATCACGCGCGGCGCATGATGACCGAATCTTTTCCTAGCTGATTTTGGGGTCTAACGAGACTTGTGGTCGAATTTACCGGTTTACTAGCATTGTCAACTCGAGATTTAGTCGGAGAAAATGTTTATATGGTCATATTTTAAGTTTGGCGCGTAATAGCTGCAGGGGTATGGAAAATTCGATCATAATTTTTACTGTGTGAAGTTTAGGGGGTAGTTTATGTTCCTGCAAGCGCCGAGAATCCCCACACCCTCAACTTTTTCACGCGATTGTAATTAACTTTGAGCTCACTTTTCGAGGAGCTTTCAGCATTGTTTACAACCCCTTATTTCTCGATAAAAACTAGTTTTCAAGAGTGTAATCCAGAAGTTTTTTTAATAACGGTAATAATGGGTTTTATTTTGAAAGTTGGAAACCCGCATTGACCAATCGAGAAACTTAGCGCAACCCCCTCACCCCCTCCCCACCCACCACCACCACCTACGGTCTTGCTTAAACCTCAACCCCTAGTGCCAAAGCCAGTAAAAGAGCTTCCCCATATGTTTTTCAGATATCAAGAGATTTTGAGAAAATCGTTCGCAGAAAATAAACCTTATTGGATTGTCCCGCCCCTTCCACCCTCCCAACTTACTGTTCCTAAAATCCGATTTGACTGATATCCTCAGAACAAAACGATGTATCTTCCCTTAAGCTTTGAACAAAGTTTAAGCCTTAGTTTTCACGATTTGGATCTTTTGAGGTCTGTAAATCCCAGGCTTTTCAACGTCAACTTTCCTTCAACATCTCTTTTCCATCGATGACGATCGGCTACCGCAATTTTGATCCCTCTCGCGGTCGTTCACGCTGCGATCGCCCCCGTTCGCGCACCCCTAGAAACCTCGAAACCGCACATAACCCCGCCAAGCTGGAAACCTCAAAGTCGGATCCATGCGAAGCCCGAAACCCGAACATTTTCCGCACCATCTCGGTTGACGCTGTATATTCGACCGGAGGCGTGCAGCCCGATCCGCCGCGCGAGCAACGCTGCCGAATCGTGCCAATAAACCACCATTTTCCGTTGTATATGCCCTCGAAAGTGGGATATTTGGGCATCGGTGTCGGGAGCCCTAAGCTCACGCTGTCTAGTTCCCCTCCTCCCGCCGGCTGCGGTCCTCGCACCGTGCACCCTCCCCTCCCCCTCACTCTCCCTTTCTCCGGCCCCCGCGCGCCCCCCGCGCCTCATTTTCAAGGCCGACAGCGGAGCCTCCAGCGTCCGCGGAACCCGCCGATGCCGGTGCGTCGCGTCGCGTCGCGTAGCGTCCCGCCGCGCTGCGCCGCGCTTCGGCGGTGGCTACGCATCCGTTTCGTAACGTCGAACATAACCTCTCCAATCTTCACTGCATTGCCGGCCTGCTACCGGCAAGCGCCGTCTGGAGCGTGGTGGCTACTCGTAAACATATCCTAGCTCTCTGCCGTCGTGCTACGGAAAAACGCCGTACGATCCTTCAAGAACCGTCCGTAAATTTCGTAACACTGGGGGAGGGGGGGGGGCAAGTCCAGATGAGCGTTACGCCATTTCTTTTTTACGTGTGAAAGGACAGGGATTTACGTCAACAAAGCGTAACGGTGAAATTCGGAATTTTTGACTCTCTCCCCTTTGGAAGACACCCTTAACGTAGCTTTCCAGTCCCTAAAAGCATTAACGTAACGCTCTGCTTGGCCCACCCCTTCTGATGATGGCGTTTTTTAGGTATATGTTGCAAAAAATTTCCGATTCGCCTTGATTTTTCATTGCATATTTTAAAAAAAATCGGCGTCAGTCGACTATTTTGGAGTTACGTAACGCAGCCCCTAGCATCCCCGTCTTTCTCTTGACGCAAACGAACGTGGGCTCGGACACCCTCCCGCTCCTTTAAAACGTCACGTTTTTTTAGATTTCCACTCCCACTAACGGCGCCCTTGCATGGACCTACCAAGTATTTCACCCCCGTGGAGAGGGGTGAGGAGGGGGGGGGGGCTGGAAATGCATTCAAGGAATATTACCGCAATTTGAAACAAAATTACTTGAAAACAGGGATGGATGAAGTGTTTTGGAATTTTATGAGATTTCTGAAATTAAAGAAAAAAACCTCGGATAGTTAAAAAAAAAACTTAAAGCTACGACCACGTTTGAAGTCACCGGATCTGCTTTTCCAATTTGAGAAAGAGTCCTCACAAATGTTTTATCTATCGATTTATCGAATTTTTAATTGCTCAACAAATACAAACGGGGTGAAAATTTGTTAACCAACACAAGGAGTCAACATTGCCAAACTCAAAATTCCGCTCACCGTTTATTCTTGACTTTGAATATAGTTTCAAGAGCGTTTCTGCTCTCATCTTCAGTGACGTGCGATGGTTAACGTCAGTCAACGAACGGTACGCAGCTTCAATTTGACATTTTAATGCAAAATTTTTCTGCCATATGTACTTTAGGAGTTCCTCTTCTGTCGTCAACCTTTATGGATTAACTACTAGTTGCCACACTAACTTGTTTTTATTTTATATTAAAATCCCCACGTGACGAGTATCGGTTTGGTGCGTACTAGTGTTGTTGATTTTTTAAAATTTTTTGAAGTTATCATTTTTTTGCAGAAAATAATGGATTAAATTGAATCGATTTTTTGCACGCGATTTTGCAGCAGCATCAATTTTTACTCACGAATCGAAATTTTTCGATTTTTTACGAACAAAAATTTTACTCCTGAATAATTAAGGAAGCAACAAGCCTACGTTGATCTTGAAAATTAAAGGAAGCCATCAAAATTGCTCCAATTTAAGGGACAATGAAACTCAACGCTCAGTGAGGCGAGAATTTAAGAAAAACGAACGGCACCATACTTATCCTAAAAATCGATTTTTTGAACAAAATCGACCTTTTCAAAAATCAAACTAAAATCTTAAATCTAAGGCTAGCTGTTTTTTTCTTCAACTTGTAGAATTGTTTTTTTAAGAAGCACCTAACTGGAGATGACTTATCATCAAAAATGCATCTGAACGATTGAAAAATATGCTCACTAATGTCTATGTGCGATTGTGCGAATGATGAAAAGAGCACCAAGATGCGAAACCCTCAATATTTGACCTCAGAAATGAAGCTCTAATTAACATTTCAAACATTTAAGTGTATACATTTTTTATCATTGCAAGGAAAATTAATCGCTGGTTTTCGCACTGAATCTAGCCCTGAGTAGATTTTAATGGATTGGAACTGTTTCGAGGGAGGAAAGTTCACGCGCCAAAATCTATCGAGATTTCAGTTTCAGTTTGGCAAAAAGCAAGTTCGCGTCTATTTTGAGTTGCGGTTGTGTGAAACGAACTTGCAGAGTTTTCCCCGACTTTTTTTTTTCAAACCATGACATCATCAGACTGAATTTTTTTTCAGCTTTTACAATTTTTCAACTCACATACCTAAGTGCGACGCCCTGCTCTGATGCCGGTTTTGAAAGCTGTTGCCAGATTCTTTCTATAGTATGATTTTAACAAAACTGAATTGGACAGATGTAACCGAAAGCAACCCAACTGTCATTTACGTTGGTTAATTTCCTCTCGACAGCGAATTTGCAATTTGGCGATACTGTTTTCCTTCCATTTAAATTTATTTAAAAGATCGATTTTAGGAGAGGAAAAGAATCGATTATTTTACATACATTTAAATGGAGGAAAAGAGTGTTGCCAACTATCAAGAATCACCACTTCCTCTCGAGTTTCATTATTTTTACAGATAACAAAACAATAGAATGTTTCGAAACTTTCTGTCCATTTCCCGTAGCTCACGAAGAATAAACTCACAAAACAAGTCCGAATAATAATTAAACATGAAAAAATAAAACATGAGAGGAAATTTGGCAACGTCTGACGTAGTCTGATTTCGACTGATTTTGTCCAGTTATAGCAGTTGAATACTGCCCAAAACGCCGTATGAACTTCCAAACGTTTTCAAATTTCTCTGAAGATTTTCATTTTTGCAGAAAATTAATCTCAGTAAGTAAATTAATGACAGAAATCACCATCTAAAGCGTCCGAAGAAAAATGATTTCAAGTTTTTTTTAGCTGACTCGTATTTTAGAGGAAGACATCAATTTTGGCAACGTCCAAATTTCATACATTGTTCGTCTTTAGCACGTCAGATTAGGAAATTCGCTCTCTTTTCGCCATTTAATCGATGTTGTGCGTACAGAATTGGATTCGATTGTTTTTGAAAAGAGACAATCTGATCTTAAATGAGCTTTAGTGATTACATACATTTTTATGCACTTAAGAGCTCAATCAAAAACGGATATGTTTTTAATCGATTCGACCGAAAATCGATTTTTTTACCCTGATTTATCAGACGAATCAATTTTTTTCTCAGAATTGATTCAATTTATTATATTTTTTATTTTTTATTTTGGCTGCCGATGCTTTTCTTACAATCCTAAGCCTATTCTACAAACATTTTTCTTCTGTTTTGTGATGATTTTTTTCATCCCTAAAAATCGTGAAACTTTCATGGAAAGCTAAATTTCAATTGTCAGCAAAATGAAATTTGACATTTCTGGTAGAGGCAGAAAAAATTAAATTTTTTTGAAACGATTCCTAGAAAAATCGAGTTTTACACTTTAGCGTTGATAGATTTTTAGACGGAAATAAATTTCTTAAAAAAGCAAATACGCTCGCTAAAAACGCCTGATGAAACAGGAGTCGCCGCGCTGCTGCCACTGTCATGACTGTCAGTTGCATGTGAATTGAGTCCGATCGAAAAGAATACAAGCGCGTAGAAGCTCCTTCAATTAGGCGTGATACGATTTGGCCTACACGGGTGCACATGCCCGTGCTCAGGCGCAACAGGAGCAGACACGATCGGTAGGTCGTTTGATCTCTGCTTTTGATTGAATGATGTCTTTACTCGGAGCTCTCGCGGCACTTAACGATGAAGATTTACCTCTTGGATAAAGGGGAAACGCAGACGGAAGCTTCAAGTATCCCTCATCGTATTACGTTTTCACTTTATTTCTCTCTTTGAAGGAAACTTCTGTACGCAGTCAGTTTTGTATGCCTCTAACACCCTCTACAGAGAGCACAAATAGACTTGTCAAACAGGATTTCAACCCATTCTTCTCGATTTTTATCCGCTTCTTTTAATATTATGCCATTGAATTTATGAGAGGGGATAATAGGCATCTTTTATCTCCTTTCTGCTATCTTCTCTCCGTTGAATGATTGCGATTTACGGTTACTTTGGAACTCTACCGAAGTTATGTGAGAGCCGAATAAAAAAAAATCTAATTCTTCTGAATACCGTAAAATAGGATTGTCTGATCTTTTCAAAGCTCGGTTAGTTTCTGAGTTTACGTGTTCTTTCAAAATTGATTTTTATGTGTAGAAGATACTCTTCATAGATTGAAAATTCAGTTAATTTGCGCCGGGGGAAATTTTAAAGTTTCAAGCTGAGCTTTTTTCAGAACAAGGCATTCAATTCACGATACTATCTTTACTAATTGCACAAGTTCCATGACTTCTCTTCATTCAGAGCCTTTTCAAGAGTATTTCTATCAGCCCGATGGAAAACTATCGTGGAAAAAGTTATCCTTTCTGTAAGTGGACTGCTTTGAGCAATAGAAATTACGATTCCCGACTCATTCGTAGAAGCACCTATCTGCGTAGGAGACTAGTGATACATACACGTTGTTTCTTAAATGAGCAAGAAATGACCCACTTTTACAAGAAAGGAACCAAACCACATCTGCTGTTGCCAAATTCAACCGGGCAGTTTAACTTTTTACGAAAGAACGCTCGTGCGCATTCCTTGGAAAATTTCAAGGAATTTGCTTTGTATTGTGTAAAAAATCAACCGAAATTTTCAAAGAAAGAAAAAAAATAAAAATAAATAAATCTATAGAACCATTTTTATATTAAAAATTTAATTTGGCAATAGCTCATGTGGCTTGGTTCCTTCCTGCTCAACGCATTCCAATTTTATTATGGTTCCTTTCCGTGTTATGTAGCTTGAATTTCATGTCGCAAGAAGAAACCACTGTTTACAACCCCTACGGGCGGACCGACCCCTTAGCACAAAAATATTTTTTCCTTAGCCCCAAAATTTTTGGACCCACACCTGAGATCCTCCATCATCCTCCCAGTTACTAACGACCAAAATCCTTGTGTTTCAGGCCACAGCGTGAAGAAAAAATGGAAAGGCTTGCGCGACTACTACCGAACTGAGCTGAAGAAGATGTACGGCCACAAACCGGGCGACACTACAATTAACCTCAACATCTCCTCGCACCAGGTCTCCACGTGGCCCTACTACGACATGCTCCACTTCCTTAAGGACTCCATGCTCAGCTACTACATCAAACCCAAAACAAAGGAACCCATCGCTGTCTACCCGGACGACGAGTTCCCCCAGGACCTCACCGACCGCTCCAGCTCCCCCGCAAACTCCGAACCCGACCCTGTGGTCAAACTCCTCACCCCACGCGAACAACAAATCGCGGAGGTCCCGGAACCAGACTCTCCAGAACTCCCAGAACATGGCTGCCAGACGGAGGTCTCCTTGCTGCCTGTCTCCGGCCTCCACACCCTCGCGGAGATCGCGAACGTCGCCGACCCTGCGGGGAGGCGAAAGCGGCCACGGTTGGAGAGGACGTACAGTTCGCAGATGCTGGAGATCGAGAGGCAGAGGTCGGCTGTGGAGGTCGAGAGGAGGTCTGTGGAGCTCGAGAGGAGGTCTGTGGAGAAGGAGATCTGCGAGCCGGATGATGATGACTTCCTGTTCCTGAGGAGTCTCCTACCGGACATCAAGATCCTACCGCGGTCCAGGAAGCTCTTGGTACGCATCAAGATGCAGGAGATGGTTTATAATGAGATCAGTAAGCTGGAGAACGAGCTCAGTGAGAACCGACCGTTCAGGGTTTGAGAGGTTCGGGTCTTCGCCAGGGTTTGGGCTCTGGGTGAAATTTAGGGTGTGAATTATGGGGGGGGGGGCGGACAATAGATTGAAAGTAGGAATTTTTTAATTGACTTCATAATTTTGTTTTTTAAATTTGTCAAATTAAAAATAATGATTTTTTTCCTTAAGTGTACTCTTACTTAAGTTCCTTAAGTATAGAGTGTATTTGATAGACATGATAAGTTAAAAAAATCCTTTTTTCCTTAAGTTTTTTTTTATTTATTTATTTTTTTTTATTGAGCTAAGTACTTTTAACATGCTGAGTAGTCGTCTAATAATTCACATTGATACATGACGAGTGAATTATATCAATCATTCTGTTTTACCAATACTGTCCTCCTAGATTTACTACCGAACTAAAGTGTGGTACGCCAAGTGCGTCGATCCGTATTTCACCTCTGAGCCCTCACTAAACCCGATGTGAGCTGTAATCATACTAGCTGTTGTTAAGGTACCAGTAACTTCATGTCGGGTGCTAAATTTGCCCAAAAATTGTGATATTTCGTTGATGTTCTCTCATTTTAGACGTAGGTAAGAAGGTTATTTTTCTAGTAGCTCAAGCCTCGGGCTCATTTCCTCATTATCATGTAAATACTCTAGTTTTCTAAATCTCTCGAGTTACGATATCCTAGTTATAGTTTTTTGAGAATATTAGTCGTAAGTAAAATGTTGATGGATAGACGTAAAAACTAAATTTGTTCCTGTTGAACCGTCATGGGCGCACACAAAAATAAGCAATAAATTAAGGAATGTTTGAGATTAAGTGTAAGGTGATAATAAGCAAGTAAGAAACCATTTTTTTCTGGTGCCAAGTAGTTAAGAACACTAAACGAATGGTGCCAAGTTGACGAAAATACTCTCGATCAGGTTTTCTAATTTTAAAATCTTCTTATTAAGGATGCAAAATAGGAATTGGATCAGCCATGTTGCCCTTTTCCTTTGAATTTGAACCTTTTAATTTTTGATGCCTTTCTTTTGGTCTCAACTGTAATTTAGCTGACTCTAATGTGAAAAGACATTGTGTTTTTAGCTTTTGGTTAGCAGGTTTTAGTCTGTAGTCTGAAAAAGCCCTGTGAACTCTAATTTAGATAAGAAAGTTAGGTTATTGTTATTTTTACGAACATCTCAAGAAATTAGTCTCAGTTATTGACTGTAGAATCTCATCTGAATTAGGCTATTTTTTATTATGTGCACCGCGCATTTTTTTACAAAGGTATTTTCATTTTAAATCGCTGGAAAGCTTGTGATATTAATGATCAATATGAAACGTCCCGTAAACTTTCCTTTCCTCCAAAATGTGCGTGTCTGGATTCTAATATTTCTTCCACATTGAAAATTTGTCCGTAATTTCTTCTTGATAATTTCTTCAATTCCAGATGAAATTGTGTTGTTTAAATTAATTTATTGAAGCGAAATTATGCTGTATACCCATTTTTTCTCGAATAGTTTTGCTCAGATGACTTTAAAAAATAATTCAAATGAATGATTCCGTCTCTTCTATTGCCGTTGCGGGATTAAAAATCCCTGCACAGCTACTCATGATTTGACACTTATGTACGTCTTTCATACCTTTTTTCGATGTTTAATATTTTTTACTGAAGAGTTATTGAGCATTCCAAAGTTTCTTCCTGAATTTACTTTACTTTTGATCACAAAAATTGTCCTATTTTCTTCTTTTCTTCTCTTTTTTTTTCGAAATTTCTAGTTGTGTTAATTTTGTGTAAATTTATTATAAAACATTCCATTAATTTTTTTCTTCGCCCTTTCATTAATTAAACTTTGCTAAGTCAAAATTATTGATGAAGACAGATGTCAAAGCCAGACGGGTTGCGAAAGGCCACATCACTGATATCGGTTGTGTTCTATATTAGTTTCCTATTTTAATACGTACCTATTTCAATGTTTGACACATCACGTTTAAATGACAAATTCGCAGGATGAAATTGACAACAAGGAAGAAAAGGAAGCTCTCTAAGAAATGAGACAATCGCTTCGGCAAAGACAATTCACTCAAATGCGAGCCTACCATGAAAAATTAATTAAAATTAAGTGCTTTACGATACAGTCCCTCCTCATGTCAGTCGCCTTTAATGTTACAAAAAATGCTGAAGTTTGTTTTTTATTTAAATATTGTTCTTGTATTTTTTTAATTTTGTAAATTGCCCACTGAATAAATAGAAATAACTTTTCTACGAATGTTGTTCCTTTCTCGGTTCTTTATTTCTCTTACAAGAGCCCGCTGGGTTTAATATCCTAACTCAATGTTTGAATGAAAACTGGAAAAACGACCTAACTCGACCGCAAATTTCGAAATTTTCCCAGTGCAGAATCGTGAAGTTTCTATAGTGAGTTCCAACCATCAATCAACTTATTTGGGTCAATTTCCAATTCTTCACTCAATTGAGGTTGAAAGATTTTTCATCAGCAAATTAAACACCTCAGCGGCGTGTCGCGCTTTGCGATACATCGATTTATCTGCCATTTAAACCTATGGAAAAGGATCTATAAACAGGGTATTCGCAACGCACTCCTTAATGATCGATTCTTTACCACAGCTTCAAATGGGAAAATGTCGGTAAGCTATCATTCACGCCTCACCACTGAAACCCTTCCTGTGAAAGGTGATTTTAACGAAGTGTACATTTAATTTTTTTCCCTCTTGCTAAAATCAATTCATTGTATCGATTTTTTGTATTTTTTCTCACGACTTCGAGTTGAACTACATATATTTACCGTTCTAAGGAATAATGACCCACTCAATATGGAAATCTTATACCTACTGTATCATTTCACTTGATAAAATCCAGTCATTATTTTATTGGGTTTGGTAAACTTTTAAGGCTGATTCAATCCTTTGAAAGTGCAGCCCACGTGATATCACGATAATTTGTTTGAGCTATCGATCGGTAGCCCTCGCGTGCAAGATTATGGTTGCTTGATTCCGTGTGCCCTTCATTTCATGTGACAGTGCATGCATCGGTTAAATTTATTAAGTGAGCCAAATGAAATGAAAATTAGAAAAATATAGAGATTAAATGCAAGATTTTATTGGGAAAAAATCGAGGGTTTCCTTCCAAAGATTTCACGCTACCGGTTACCCACCGTACCACTTCTAAAAATTTCCTGGTTCCACCCTCGTTTTCCTCTGATTTAGTAGAAAAAGTAAGAGCTTGTTTATTGGAATATATCTGCACGTATTTCTCTCATAGATGTCTCTCAGAGTTGTGTTTAATACCTCAACTGAGGAGCTTGGAGGACAAAGCGCATCCGTGTAGTTTTTGGAAAAATTGAGATATTCTGATATTCATGAAGTTAGGTAAAACTAGTCTGAAAGTATACTCTGTGAAAAATGTGCGACTGAAATCCAATTTTAAAGCATCAAAAAGTGAGTTTAAACTTCCTTTCTGCCGTAAGGCTCCATGTAATTTTGAAACTTCAAACACGTATTCCTCGAAATAGCAAAAACTGCACTTATGCGCCTTGTCCTCCAAGCCCCGCAATTATCATCGCTCCTTGGACGAAAGGACGTACCTATCTCGATTTCCGCATGAGCCATAGAAAGCATGGACTTATCTTTGAAACAGGTCTCACTTGGAAATGGGCCTGTTGCAAACTTTTGCTAGAGCAAAACTAAGAGTTGTTTCTTATAGATAATGCCTCAAAAATCACGATGAGCGCATCGGCAAACTCTGAAATGCACTCATAACTTCACAATCTGCGTAAGAAATTTGCGGTTTTTTGAGCTTCCCGCTTCAAAAACGATACTACGGCACAGGTGAACATTTTGTAAGAGGAGTCGTTCCATCGTCGGCAATAATCATCATAGCCGACGCCAATCCGCCAAAACTCGTTTGATGGGACGAGATAACACCTGAACTGGATTAGGCCAGATAACAATCGGCGTGTTAACGTTCATATTTTCCACGCCCGAATTGATTGACCTTGAAATCTCCTCGAATTACGCGCGGAACTGCGCGCAAGCGTCGGCCATGATGAATATCGCCGACGATGGAGCGACTCTTCTAACAAAATGTTCACCTGTGTCGTAGTATCGTTTTTGAAGCGGGAAGCTTAAAAAAACGCAAATTTCTTACGCAGATTGTGAAGTTATGAGTGCATTTCAGACTTTGCCGATGCGCTCATCGTGATTTTTGAGGCATTATCTACAAGAAACAACTCTTATTTTTGCTCTAGCAAAAGTTTGCAACAGGCCCATTAAGATACTTTCTTACGTCAGAGATGCGACGTTATGAGTTCTCTATCTTTAATGTCTAGGTCTTTTTTCTTGGACAGTCAAACATCTTTCCAAATATTTCATTTGGTAATCAGGCAATACTCTTTGAATCTGGTCCGAACAACTTCAGTTGAAATTTCACTCCAAAAAGAAACACCTGAGAACGAGAGATATGAATCTCTTTGCCGAGACTCAAAAACAAATCTTCTGATGGAAATGCTCTCTCCGGTTTAAGTGGATACACGGGTAAAACAACCAATTTAAGACCCGTCGCCAATTTTGCCATGCTATAGCAAAACGGCATATGAGTATTCAGATATTGCCAACTTTATAAAATACTCATATCGGCAGGCGCGGATTAAGGGGGTGGCCACATGGGCCGCGGCACGTGGCGGCAAATCTAAGGGGCGGCAATTATTTGCAATTTTTTATAGTGTAGGTATAAAAAAAATCGGATTTATAAAAACAAAATTACAAACGAGGAGGGGCGACAAAATCTCTCATTTCCTGAGAGTATAGTAATTTCTAATTTTGTCGTCTCTTAGTGATACAAGAGACAGCACCTTCAACAAGTCGAGTTAAGAGAGAGACCAAACATGCAATTTGGCTTGGAACGGCGCGACTTAGAGAGAAATGATAACGAGGACTTAAGATGAAAAGGAGAAGCCCTAGGCGCGGCGATCGGCATGTAACACATATTAGCGCCTACAAGACTGCACGAATACTTCACGCATTGCATCAAACACAGTGCGGTCATTGCGGTCAGCGTGAAACGGATAGCGCCTACAAGAGTGCATGAATACTTCACGCATTGCGCCAAACACATAGTGCGGTCAGCGCGAAACGCATAACGCCTACAAGACTGCGTGAATACTTCACGCGTTGCATTCAACATTCAACACAGTGCGTTGCATTCAGCGGCGGTCGGCGTGAAACGCATAGCGCCTACAAGACTGTCGGAATACTTCACACATTGCGCCAAACACGGTGCGGTTTGCGCGGCGAGGCGGCGGAAGTTAAAATCATTGACCCACATTTATGTTTGTTCTTTAATAATTTTTTCGTTCATTTCTTATGAAAGGCAGGCCTTGTCCACACAGAGATAGTTCCGTCAACTTTTGCTAGTAGTGTTGACAGGGCTTTCCCAAAAAATGTGTTCAACACGAGCAAATGCGTCTTATGCACCCCTCCCCCGCTGACACGTTCATTTGGTGTTTTTTATCGAGTTTCAAAACGAATGAGATGGGAGCGGCAAAATACAGGCGGCCCATGGGCGGCAAAAGAGTGAATCCGGCCATGCATATCACAGAAAAGTTACGAATATTTTCCCTTGAAATTTTCGTTTGGACTACATAAAAATAACTGCGAATAAAATGCAGCGAGAAATGCACGGAAAAATACTCAGTAGTTTTTCAAAAAATGCTAGTTTTATTGGACGAAACTTGGCAACTTTTGAACGTACATACGGTGTTATTCCTCAGCTCGGCAGACTGAAACACGCCAAAACGAGCTCTAGCGCAAATACTCCGGACCAGTCGGGTATATGAACATCGAACCATTTTCGTAAATTCCCACGAAACTGGTTATTTTCCGCCGAAATAGTGGTCCTGGCCCCCAGAGGAAGTGACCAAGGATCTTTCTCCACATCCAGCCGTAATCGAAATCCGACTACTGCCCATGTCCCCCGAAAAGTACAAAGCTCTGTCCGAGGATAGCCTTCAGATTTCGGCAAAACGTTGCCATGTCAGCCGATTCATCATTTAATATACCTTGCTTTTCACATTTGAAGGGGGGAATTTTTCGCAAATTTGGCAGCACTGTCACTTGCGCTGCGGAAGCTGGAGTCATTTAGCATTGCGCTAATTATACGCGTTGCGTTCCATTGCGTTAGATCGTAACAGAGTTGCTAGAGCGCGAATAATTACCCCGTGTTTGCCGGGTTGTCTGGTTTGGATTTTTATACATTATAATCCGATTGGCAACGTGGTGGTGTATTGTGTACTTTCCTGCGTCTAGCTTGTTGCGTATCAATGCAGGATCACCAAAAAAAGAGGGTCATTTGTCATTAGCCCAGATGGAATGTATTTTAATCGTCTAAAACCCGATTATGTTACAGCCAGAACTAGATACTGGACATCTGCCAATTCGGCTAAAAATTCTGCATCTTTTATCTTCAGATCATTTCCAATGTTATTTGTTCATCTGGTTATGAAAATTTAAAAGAAGTCGCAAAGCTTCCTCTTAGGTAGAGGGAAAAAATTAAAATAAAAAAAAGGTAACCCCAGGTACACGGTTAAAAATTTTAGAGAGAAATTCTGTGCCCGAGTGTAATTCTGCCCCCGATGGCGCCCAAAAACCCCGAGTGATATGAATGCGGAGCGGAATCTACTCTTTTTGCGGGGTGCCATAAGTTATAATGGTGCTAATTTCACTCCGCATCTCAAGTAGTTGTAGCAGTGGTCACGATAAGTTGCGAATTGATCGGAAAATGTATCGTCCAATATCGGCGTCGATTTAGGATAAAAAATTGCGATTTTAATGCATTTTGCGATAAATTGCGATTTCATCGACGGATATTTATCGCAACATCATAATCGAACCAAAAATCGTGATAAATTGAGATAAAATTTCGATTTTATCGAATGCGATTTTATTTTGATAAAATTGCGATAAGACTGAGGACCATCGCTGAAATGATGATGATCCTACCGATTTCATCGCGAAAAATTCGCGAACAATTTTTTTTCGCGCTTTTTCCTTTCAATGTAGTGCTACTTATGTCATATCACTAAAGGATTTTGGGCGCTACATAGACTTCAGCACTGAATACCACTCACCGAATTTCAACATTGTAACCATAAACACGGAAATTTTGAACTGTGGATGCCGTGACGTGACACAAAAGACTCATGAGTAACAATCATCTGCAAGATCATCCGTGATCAACGATGAGTAATGCTCC